GAACAGGAAAAAGGAAACAAATAGTGTGACACCTCAGCACAAAACTCTGAGAAGAAAATATACACAACAGGAGAATAAACAACAGAGTTTAAAAAAACAATTAAAGCTGGGTAAGATAAGGAAGGACTCTACGTGCACTGAATTCAAATTCATCCCTGAGGAGCTTGCATGCATGCAGACACATGCTCATATATGCATACACAAGAAAGAAATTGAATATTAGAGGAAAAAGTAAATCAGTCATGCTTGCCAGAAACTTGAAAATTTCCTGCAGAATAAATGGAGTGGTGAGGGGGAAAAAAAAAAACTATTAAAATGATGTAGGTTAAAAGGAAAAACAATGACTTTATCTAGGAATCCTAGGTCTTTGTGTACATTTCAGGAAAATTTGGACAGAAGTAATGAAGATAATCTTAAGGAAAATAGATCTCAGTTGAAGGTAAGTAGACAAAATTAATAAAAAAGATGTGTGCATTTGTGCCAAAATATTTTAATTATAACTAGTTGTTTTGTGTTAAGCCTGAAGAAAAATGATACAAAGAAATAAAAATACACATGGCCTCAGACTTATCCCTAACAACATTGAATGTCTGAAAGCAGTTGGCCAGGTTCAACGTAATTTTGCAGGAAAAGGTTATAGCTTTAGAAATGTGCATCCAACTGAGCTGACATTTCTATGTGAAGGCCTGAGAGAAATATTTGTATATATGTGAACGCTTAGCAAATATACTGCAGATAAGGGCTTTTGATAACTACTTTTTATGAAATCTATTCATAAAATAAGAATTTAGTCAAAATTAAGAAAATCAAGAATGGAGAAATCATGCAGTAAAAAGAGCAATAAGTTGTGAAAAGGATAAATACTAAATCCCAAATAATTAAGGAAAACCATATAACAAATACAATTATCATACTTCTATAGAAATAATTAAAAAATAATAATATAAACTACATCAACAAAGACTACAGAGGTGAGTTAAAATACGGATTTAAGAATGTTAAATTTCTCCTTTTATAGAAAGGAAATACTTTTAAAATCTGGATTTGATTATTACTAGAGTATTTTTTAGTTTTTTCTACTAGAGTAGAAAAAGTAAAATAACTTTCAAATCAAAAAAAAACAAGTAACATAACATCTGCATAATATAAACAAACAACATACTGAATAAAAATAAGTAATAAATGCACAAGGAAAATACAAAGTCAAATATTTTAATATTATATTTGAAAAGCAGGATAGAAATATTAAAGCATGATCCCAAAACAAATGGGGAAAATATTCTGAGATAATAACTTTTTCTCTAGTTTTTTAATATAGTGGTAATGTTTCTTTCTTCTTTATCTATGTTTTCTAAGTTTTTTTAAAATGACAATAATTTTTACAATGAAAATGCAGGTTATGATAAAATAATGTAATAGTAACATTGGCTTCCTGTAATGTCACTTTGGATAAAAGAAGAGATGCAAATGAGGAAAGATATGATGATCCTATAATAAGGAATACAAAATTAGGTATTAGCTACCATTATGTGTAAGAGTAATGGTTTCTGAACTTCCAAGCCAGATAACAGAAACATTATTAAATCCTAGGAAAGAAATGCCATCTTCACAATTAATGGCACATCAAAGCCAGTGTGTAAGAATGTGAGTCTAAGTGTGTGTGCATGTGTGTGTGTGTGGGAGGGGGTGTTGTGTGTTTAATTTCCACAGCCATAACTGGCAATTGTAGATTATAACATTAGCATATATGTAACCACTCAGCAAATGCACTGCAGATAAAGGCTTTTGATAAGTACTTTTAGTAAAATCTATTCAAAAAATAATAATTTAGTCAAAGTGAAAAAGAGAACAGATAAATCATGCAGGAAAAAGAGCAAGAAGCTGTAAAAAGAGAAATACTAAAAGTGAAAGTTACTCTAGGTATAAATCTTATTGTCCAGTTATTTCTTTCCTAACGTTCACACTATCTGTTGAGATATGTTAAGTCAATCTAAAGTCTATTCCACATAGATATTTTAAGTATTTCCATAAATAACTTTTTTATTCACAGTCCTAAATGTATTCTTAACTATATTTTTTACAGTTTATTCTGTGTGTGAAACAAGTATTTTCTTACTTATAAATGATTAGATTCCTGACCCAAGTAAGATGTGTGTGGTTTTTACTATCAAAGGCTGCAAGAGTCACTATTGGCTCTCCAGGCCACTACTGCATAAGTAAGCTGGAAATCAAATTGCACCAGGAGGTGCATAATTTATACATTAAAACTGCAGAAGAAACCACAGCTGAAAAATTATCTTGGAGTGAACAAATGACTCAAGCATCAGAATTGCATTGCTTAAGTTCACTGATATCTTAAAAACCCCATTCTCAAAGGACAGATTATCCATCAGAGAGAAAGAATACATTCTAAGCACAGAATTTATCAAATAGTCTGTCTGTAGTACCAATTTTTCTTTTGATTTTTGATCACTTTGGGTACAAAGAAATGATGAGATTCACCAGAAACTATTTTTCAGAATAAATTGAAGCCACATAAAGTATAACATCTGCTAGAGAAAAGCCAAACCAAAAAATTCATCTATTTTTCTTTCTGTAGATTCGATACTTGCAGAACATTGTACGAAGAAAACATTGCTGGGCCTTTGGATGTGATAACATAAAGAACAAAACATCTTTCTGAATAAAACTGCTTCCTTATATTTTTAATTGTTTTCATATTTTTTCAGGACTTGTTATCTTTCTAGATATGTTAAGCTAGCAATAGATACGGTAGCAGAATTGAAAAACATACCACTTTTTGACTCTTTTTATTGTAGTTTTCCTCACATTCAAAATGCATGGGAGAAATTTTTGTGCCATATTGCCCTAAACACTTCATAAAGAAGTGCTTGAGTCTCTCCTTTTCTTTGAATTCATAAGTAACGTGTTCATGTTTAACTGGTGATGAATGACTCAGTATACATTAAACTGCAGTATACCACCTAGTATTAAGAAAGTCATTGTTAAATAAACTGATGAAAACTGGAATGTGGTATAAGATAAAACTGCTTCTAAAAGTAGTTAGCTATATTTTGCTTAGCTCACAGAATTCTTATTCTCTTATCTTTTAATATTTTAAATAAAACTACATGAAGAAGTTGAATCTGTATATAATATTCATATTCTCAGGGAGCAAGTAGATTTTATATCCAAATGATATGTTTTAAGATATAGAAATTAGAATAAAGAAAAATTTGTGATAGTTTTTTAATTTCTTTCATCACATACTAGTTTTGTCTGTTTGAGATTTCAAAATTGTAGACATTTTGTCTATTTATAATAGGCATTTATAATAGGCATAACATATATTTAGTATTGAACTTTCTTCATAGCTCAGTCGTCGTAAAAATGGAAAGTAACATTCCCAGACGAAAATCTCAGGCTTAAAATTCAAAAACTAACCAAAAAGCAAATGATAAAATGCAAAACAAAATAAAACATAATCACTAGTATTGAAATGGACACATATAAAACACATTTACATAAATAAATGACTTAATTCATGCCAAATTGTAAAAGTTTCCAAATGAAACTTTTCCCTTTAGTCATAGCTTTTTACTGTTTACTACATCGGCACTTCATGAATACCAAATTTCTATAACTCATGCATCATCAACACTAAAGAATTAAAATCAAAACTTGGGAATACCATGGTTTTGTTGAGCAGGAGTCTCTTCTTTTTTTCCAGCTGCGAGTAATTTAATAATGGGAGACTGAATATAGTTCTAGATCAGTAGTTCTGATCAGGGACAATTTTGTTCCCCAGAAGACATTTGGCAATGTTTATAGACATTCGGTTGTTGCAATTGCAGGTGATGCTACTGTTACTGTCATTACTGAAATGGATAGAAGGCATTTGTATTTCTAAATATCCTTCCCCATAAAGGACGACAAAGAATTACTTGGCAAAATGCCAAGAAGTTGAAAATCATTGTTCTAGATAAAAAGGTATTTGGGTAGAGAGGCAAGTTTATCGGGAAACATTAATGTTTATAAAGTATCTCCCACCAAACCTTGAAGGACTAGTTTAGGAAGCATTTTTTGATGGCATTTATAAAGAATTATGACTTTGAAAGAGAATTATACACTTAAATTTCTAGTACTTATAAAAATTTTTTCAATAGAAAATTGAAATAGAACACAATAGAGTTATGGAAATAGATTAAACTAACTTTGCATCGTTGAAAACATATATTTATCATGTAAAGACTGAATGTAAAGTAACCGCAGGCCCCCCAGGTTAAAAAAACACTTTCTGAGCTCTCTTCACTATTATTTTTACTAGGGCTCTAGTGAGAATAGGTCATTAATGTCAGGTCCCAACCAGCAGTCAGTTGCATATCATATATGATTTGCTAGATATTTATACTAACGTTAACTCTACTGATATTACACCACTCTGTGGGGTCTGTTTCTTTGAAATAATAATTTCAGTTGCATTTACCCAGCTCTGATATCAAAAGGTCCCTTCAAATAATATAACTCAATAATAAGTAAATGAGACACACCTATATTTTCCACCTCTAGTCTGATGCTAAAAAGTAGGTATAGCGAATAACAATTCTACTTACAAAATAATGTTGAAATAGCATCTAATGGAATCTGATTTTCTATAAAGTACAATTTTGGGGAATAGAAAGGGACAGGAAGAGCTTTGGCTTGTTTCAGCATGGCTGTTACACTACTGTGTACAGAACCCCTCTTTCTATTGCAATACGGAGTCTCTGGCAGGCACAGGGAAAATTAGGAAAAAGTAAGAGGAGTGTTTCTGCTTTATGAAAACAGAAAATGCCTTCTTTGCTGTGCATTGAAAAATGATGCAATGAAATCAGATTTCCCCTGGAGAGTATTATGTTCTAAGGATATAAAAATGCTAGGTTTACTAAAACAGTTTGATCAGAGTATTTAGGCTACATAAACAAATTTTCTTATTTTTAAAAACTACCCAACACAAGCACTTAAATATGTAGAATTTCATTTTAAATAAGTCAGTCAACAATTTTTTATAAAGTATTTAACACTTCATTGTAGAAACATAGGCAAAATGACTATATTATAACCAAAATGAAAAATACTGTTCAATTTAAAAAATGTACTTAAACAAGAACCTGAAAAAGTTTATGATATGCATAACATTGTTCAAGCAAAATTGCACTAGTATTACATAAATCAATAGTTTATAAAGGCCTCAATATGGCAGAGTTTAGAAATAGGTAGTATGCATGCACATAGTACAACAAAAAGTCTTCTTATAAAACAGCAATTTTTTTAATGCTTGTACAAAGGGATAAAGAGCAACCACATATTTAACATATTTCATCTGTTAGATTAATACAGTATGACAGCTAAAAGTCAGTCATGTCTATCAGAGGAACAAAAAGCCCTCCAAAACTTGTGAATAAATCTTTTGTGCCTTTAAAGATATTTGTATAAAAATGCTATCCTTTTTTTTTTTTTACAACTTAAATAAATCACACTTGTTTCAACTCAAATTTGAAGGTAAACAAACCAAATGTGATGGGGTCCACGTGTTCTGTAAAACCCAAAGGAACCTGAATACCAGAGCAACTGGTACAGCATTTAGACTCTCCACCTTTGATTATGGACAGATCATTCTACAACTTGGAAGGTCCTTGAATATATTTTGGATAGGGCTAACAACAGATTAGTTATATTGTATCTTGAAAATATTTACCAATCACTCTATATCCTAAAATGTCTGCTTTGCCCTTTGCTTTTGACCTAGCAAAGAGGATGTACTCACATAATTGAAATTCTGTCATCAATTTGTGTGCTTATATATTATTCTTTAGTGTTCAGTGTGGTAAGGGGTTGGGTTAATCTTCCTGAAAATGCCTGTGATTGGGAAAAATTACATAAGACACAAGTACCCAATGCCCTGTTGTGCTCCAGGCTGGCTATCTTTCTCGAGACTGAGGAAGAACAAAAGGTCTTTTCCCATAGCAAGTGCAGTCTGCCAACTTTCAGTTACATTTTTGCTGTGTTCTACCACCTAAATATAACTATTGCTTACAAGGTGTATACATTTAATACATCACATAGAGTCCACTAAGTTTTGGAAAATATAGTCATCTGTGTTCATGCAAATTATTAAGTTTATATACTTTTAAATTTTGTCCTCAAAATTCTCATCTATTGCTTGGCAATCTAAGGCTAATTTCAAAGCAGGTGATGCTGAACTTGTGAGAGCTAGATATTTTCAGCAGAGTCTGAAACAACCATTATGGGCACAAAGAAGAGAGCTGACCATTCTCTCATTTTTCCATCAATTTAAACAGAAAAGTAAAATGAGACTGTATTACAGCTTTCAAACCATATAATGGAAAAGTGCAGAGATTCTCTTTGTTGATTAAGTACAACCAAAAGAGTTCATATAAAATAGATTGCTCATATTCACACTACAAAGGAATATGTTGTTTTTAATTTTAACAAATTCAAAGGTGTGTCATCAGCAGCATTGTTGTAAATTGTACTGTAGTGCAGTTCTTTTTCATAAAAATTCCATACAAATGGTCAATCAATAGTCATCAGCAAAAAATAAAACCCAAAAAACTCAGAAAACAATTAATCAGGAAAAAGATAAAGAAAGAGGTAATGCTGATGCCAAAACAAGTATAATACTGTTGGAACATACAAAAGTAATCCTTATATTTTATACATTTATACAGCATATAAAAGGGATCACTGATTATGCCACTGTCTCTCTTATACCAATTTCTATTTTCTTTGGAAGCAGTTCTTTCCTTTCATCAACACTTCCTAAGGAGTTTCGACAGTTTTGCCCATCCATATATAATTTTGCATACACTGGATTGGAGTAATTTGTTGGCTGAAAGAGAAAAAAAATAAATATAATTTTGTTTCTGTTCTTGGGCACATTACTTATTTACTTTCTAGAATGTCCATCTTCCAATCCTAACAATATTTATATGTGATATGTTTAATTTATTAAATAGTAATTATTTAAATGTAATTTAAATGTTATGTTTACAGACGTTAGTCAACTCGAGCATGGTATTACATAAAACCTAATTTTATGATTTTCAAGTACCTTGTGAATCTAAGAGCAGCTTTGACATATATAAAAAGAAGAAATCTTTTTGAAAACTATGTTCACTGAGACTGTATTATAAAAGCACAAACGTGAAACTAAATGGTCATATTTTCAGTTTTATGTTGTCCCTCTTATTGCTATTACAAGCCTATCGTAGCAGGTAAGATGTATTTTCAGAAAAGCGTTTAATTGTTTGGTGCTTATAATTTTTCAACATGAACTCAAAAACAAGCAAACAGAAAAAATGTATGTAAGGAAATGTATTAGTGGAGTAGACTTTAAAATGAAAGCTATATTTTTGCCTCAAACAATCTATGTGTACTTATTAGAAATATTTTTGGACTTTTTCAAAGAATTGTGATGTACAGTCATCTTAAGTTTCACAAACACTTATGGCATTTTGAAGTAGAACAGAGGCATGCAGTAGTTGACGTCTTTGAGTTGGAAAACATACACATAAAACGTTCATTATTTAACAAATTGCAGTTTATCCCAAGAAGGTTTTGCCTAGTGTTTGTTTTTGTTAGTTTTGCTTTGTCTTTCCAAAAAGATAGTATATTAAATCTTAGTCACAACAAAGAAACATTATAATCTTTGAGCCATGCAAATGAGACAAACATGATAGAAAATGAGGATGAAAACAGTTGATGGGAAAGAGGATAAGGGAGAGAATTCTTATTCCTCAAAATCTTGATATGCATATTTTATTCCTCTTCTGCTTAAAATGAACTGTGTAACTTTAGACAGAACAGCTTTCTCTAAACACCACTTAATTGAAACATGTTTTTGAGAATGGTTTAGTTAGACCATCTGTAATTTCTCAATATGATGACACATTTTAAAGTACAGTCTATTTAACTGCACATCAAATTTGTGCATATTAAATAAAGCTCCATGATAGAAAATGAATAAAATCAAACAAAAGTTTAAATTTAAATTATTCAGTTTAAATTTCTGGCTGGAGCTTCTTTTCTAAGAGTAACAAATACTCATGTTTGTTAAGTGTCTATAACATTTCCAAATCCAGTAGAAGAGATATTTCTACTTAATAGCTTGCCTAAAATGATTAAGTTTTATATGTAATTTTGCATAGACAGAACACATAACATAAGCCCCCAATTTAAATGCTATTTTGAAGTCTCTTGTTAATTAAAAACTTAATTAAGGACAAGCCTCTAAGTCTAGTAATCAGTCTTTGATTGTGAAGGTTCTGTGATGGAATGGATATGGAATAATGAATATTCTTCTCTCACCCCAGCAGTTAGTGGTCCTTTCAAATCAGAGTTTAAGTAGATGGGCGGCGCTGTGTGTGGAAGCTTGAATGCACTGGGCCCTCCTATGTACCTGGCCTGTATGTAAACAGAGAGTTTTAGTTTCTGATCTAATATTATAGAACCATTTTTCATCAATACAAATAATGTTAATTCATAAAAATCACATAAAAATACTCTTTAGCCCTAAGCCATTTACAATGTGTTCATGTTAGCTCTAACAACCTAAAACAAAGATTTGCTATTAATATTGAATCTTTGCTTCATAGGTAGACATTTCTCTCACAAAATTCTCATTCAGAAAATATTCAGACATTCCAAGTAAGAATTAGCATGAATCTGGAGATAAAACTAGTAAATATTAAATTTTCTTTTGTCAACTCTTCAAATAATTCTGTGGTTACCCACAAAGTCAAATCTGTTTTATTAATTTTATTAAGTACTCTTTTTAATTATAAGATACCATTGAGCTAGAAATTTTACCCACTTTGAAAATAACAGAAATGAGTGTTCTAAAAATTTTTCTTCACATGTAATATAATTTATACTGATTGCACTATGCATATTACAAACCCTTGTAACAGAGTGAATACTCTAAAACATTCATATGATTATTAAAGTTGCTTCAATGTGGCCCTCTGTTTTTTACTACTGTCTAAACTTATTAGAACTAGCTGACTTTTTTCTGTAGTTACTCATTTGGCAACAATTAATATTTACATTCAAATATGAGGATTCAGCTAGACTCAGTCATCTAAGTAATATTTGATGTAATTTTCTTTAGTCATCAAATTGGTAAATAAATATTTATTGAGTATTACATGCTAAGTACATTAAAATATATTTGGGGGCACTGAAGCATAGTTTTATTTTGCTAGAATAAATGTGGAAAATGTTTAAAATGTGGTGTAAAAAGCTATTCTCTTTAAGTGTACAGAATTGGATTAGTTTTATCACTAGATATAAAAATGATGAGGGAAAAATGAGAACCCTCCTTCGTATGAAAAACGTTTAAAATGTATCCTTATTAATCTATATATGCATGAATACTATATAACTCTATTATTTAAGGTGTCTTTCTCCTTCATAGATGTAATAGATTATCAAATATCAATGTGTACATTATGTATCATCTCTCAACTTCTTTGATATTTTCAAGCAGAAAATATCAAAAGTAAGGTTACCAGGATTTTTCCTTGAAAAATTCCAGATGTAGGAGTGAATTAATTAATAATAAATATAAAATTATGTCTAATTAGGGAAGTATTATTTTAATGTTATCTGATAGTGCACAAGTTATCCATGTGAAAAGATTGATTGATTCTCATAGAAGTGAATATTTGAGCATCAGTTGTAGGCTTAGAAAGTCTAATCATGAATTCAGGACTAGATTGAATACGTGGGATCCTATTCAACTTCTTCAGGAACACCTGTGACTGTGACTGCAAAATAATTTGAATGTAGATTGGCCTCTTTGGATATTTACAATGTAAAAGCCCATTGTCATGAAGTGACTTTTATACATCAGAAAAATAAATAACTATTCAATAAATGAGTGAATAAGCCAAGAAAAATTGTTTCTTAACAGCAAATTGATACTCTTAATTTAGAGAAAAATATTCTAAAATTATCAGAAACAATATTCAGATAGTTCAGTAAAGTAAATCTTCGTAAATTTAACCAGAAAATTGTATCATTTATATATTTTTCTTAAAGGTTGCCAACCTGAGCTTATAGTAATTAAAAAGTAACAAACATTCTTAAAAGGCTGTAGATTGCCAGGCTATATGAATCAATGAAATGTTTAAACTAGTAAGGATATTATGACAGAAAAATATTTCTCAAAATGATTTAATTACAAAGGCGTGTAAGGACACAGCTTAGTTGGTTCTTCATTTGAACATTATTGGAAATAGCATACTTACTTTGAAAATAAAGTACTGTACTCTTTTATAGTTAAAAATATATCAACCAAGATTTTTACACTAAGCTCTATGTCTAGTTTGCTAATACCTCAACACATTTGAATAGAGCATTATTTTATATAAGCTATACATATTTATGAGATACAACATTTTGTTATGTTTTTATACACATATAAATTGCAGAAAAATAAAATCAGAGCATGTTGCATATCTCTCACCTCATATATATTTATGATAATTTGTGGTGAGAACATTAAAAATCCTCTTTTCTTGCTATTTTGAAATATACAATACAGTATCATTAACCACCGTCACCCAACTGTGCAATTGAACACCTCAATTCATTCCTTTTATCTGTGACTTTGTACCCATTGACCAACATCTTTCTTCCTTTCTTCTTCCTCTTTACCCTCTAGTAACCACTATTCTAATCTCTACTTTAATATTAACTTCTATAGATTCCACAGGTGAGTGAGATCATGTGGTATTTGCCTTTCTGTGCCTGGCTTATTTCATATAACAGTATCCTCCAGCTTCATCCATTTGCCTCAAATGAAAGGATTTCTTTCTTTTCTTTTTTTTTTTTTTTTGGCTGAATAGTATTTTCTTTCTTTATCTATTCATTGTTGCTGCACACTTATGTTGATTCTATATCTTGGCTATTGTGAAGAATGCTGCAAAAATCATGGAAGTACAGATATCCCTTCAAGTACTGATTTCCTACTATGCATCAATTAAAACCAAAAAATAAATACATTTTAAAAGAATGATGCAATGTCTGAAGTGATGAAAACAAAATTATCTTGTAAGTATCCAGTTCCTAACAAATTAAAACCCCAAAGAACCACACTGTATTACACTGTAGGGAATACTGGGAGGGAGGGGGTAGAAAAGAAAATGTCTCACTGAACTATTTGTCAGGCATATTGCTAGAGGCTGTGCATGTATTGGTCTTCACCTTGTGTATGTTTCAATCTTAAAAGTCAGTGGATTTACTATGTAATAGACCTTTATCTATCTATAGATCTATCCATCCCCTGAAGAAAATCTAAACAATTTGCTGTATGGTATCAATACTAAAACATTTTTTAAAGGAGTTTTGGTTTACTTTAGGGGAGCAAAGTTAGATAATGAGTCATTTTTCAATAAAAACAAATAAAAATAAGTAAAATGTTTACGAATGAACTAAATAAATAAATAGATGTTTCTAAGATGTGTTATACTAACTTGCAGCTTCAGGTGAATGCAGTCCATAATTGTACTGCCTCTTTAGAAGAGGTGATATCATTCAACACATAGGAAAGTCCTTTATTCTACTTTGGATAACAGAAAAACTTGGTGAAATTCAGAACCATAAAACAATGATAAGACTTAAGAATGTCAGTGCTCACTGCCCATTATCTTAAGACATATTACCTTTGTTGGGTCTATCATAAAGCCAGGATCTAAAAGACCTCCATCGTTGTGATCGTGATCTACCTCATACATGTTATAAGATGGATTGCCAATTTCTACATTTATTCCTCCATTGATAATAGGTTGTCTTCTAATTGTTTTTGTCCTAGAATATATGAACATTAATATGTGTGAGTTTTGTATAAATATCACAACCAAGGTTTATAAAAGTATCATATTTATAGATTTACTGACTTATTTTGAAATAAATTGACTAAATTACATTTGTCAAGTAACAGGGGAACAAAAAAGTAATATTTTGATAGGCTATTTTCCCGATTGTTTTAACTTAATAAAAATACACTGGAAATAAATACCTCCTAAATCACTAATACCACATCATTTGAAATAGAATATTTACCAATCAATTATTTTTTAAAATTCTATTTTTTCTCCTTCTTTCTGAAAACTATCTCAACAAAATAGTGATAAAGAAACTCTAAAATAGATTGTCTTCAATCAGTAAGTCGCATGACTAGAATTTTGTTTTATATTATTCAGATACTAACTCAAAAGCACTCAGTTTTTAAAATTATTTGGTTAAGGCTGAGGGGTACAAGTGCAAGTTTGTTACATGGTTATATTGCACATTGTTGAAGTCTAGACTTTTAGTGTGTCCATCACCCAAATAATGTACGCTGTACCCATTAGGTAATTTGTCATCATACACCTCACTTTCATTCCCCACCCTTCTAAATCTCCAATAGCTATCACCCTATACTCTATGTCCATATGTACACATTCTTTCAAGTCGATTTATAAATGAGCACATGTGGCTCTTATCTTTCAGTAGACAATCTATTCCTTTAGATCTAAAAGTGCATTTTCAAATAAATTGAAATGATACTTCTAGTGAGGTATAAAGCAAGTGAATCAATGCACTATTTGTGAATGAAATGTTAAAATTGGAGATGTACATATGCATATCAGTATCACTGTATTAACATTACTAATTATACACATTAATATAAAAACGTGCTCCTCAGAGACCCTTGCTGTTTCAAGGAAAGACAACTGCAAATGTAAAATTCTACTTAACTACTGAATAATATGATCTCCTGTTAGTTTTGCTAGAATATATAAATGGACCATTCCATTAACATAACATGGGAGAAGATTTCTCTAATTTATAATCACTTAAAATAACAGAGAGGTATAAAATGATTTGAAAAACATAGTATTTTAGAACTGAAATAAAATCCTGTTTTAAAAAATAAAAAAAAATATGTTTCAGCATCTAGTTGTGTGATTTATTCACTGACTGCTAATCTGAACGTTGTATCTTACCTTCTTTTTCTTTTACAAAGCACTAAACCAATTACTAAGGTGGTTATCAAAGTCACCAAGAGGACGAGAGGCACAATGATGGCAATGCTTCCTGGAAAATAAATGAGTGAATAGATGAAGAAATAAATAAAATGAAGTAAAAATTGATACAACTAAATACTTCATTGCATCAAATTACATTGATAAAACAAAAATAAGCTTAGCCAAAATGTTTATATTTCTGGTTCATAATTATGTTATTGGAAAATTGCTCTCCTCCTAAATACTTGATCTGCTGAAATGTTTCTTTAGATACCTTTCATTTATGTGTTGCATTTAAATATCTTGAGATTAGAGATCTGAGTTTTCTGTCAGTCTGAGTTTAGTGTTTCCCATCACACACATTTACTTGCAATGATGCAAATATATGCTAGTACGTCTTTTTAAATCAACTATGACTGAATAAATATTTACACAGTTTCACTGAGTACATTCCCACCCTTAGTTTTGTTCCTTTAGCTATCCAAACTTTCTGGTCATGGGTCTATGTGGCAGAAGGAGTATCAGTGTTTGATTAAGATGGACATTGGTGTAAATATTGGTTTCACAACTTACTTGAAATGAGACCTTAAGTAGGTTATTTAAATACTTGGAGGCTCATGCTCTTCAACAGTAAAACAGAGACAAAAAGATCTACCACAAAGGGCAGTTAGCTTGATTCCACAAAATTAGGGGGCAAAAGGGTTCTCTTTCTCATGTTCTACTTCCTGAATGGTTTTAGCAAACCATATTTTAAGAGCTGGCTTATGTGGCAAATGTCAATTATTTTCCTTTCTTCCTTATATATGAAAATGATCTTGGGTATTAACACTAACAGAATAAATCTTCAAAAGTGGTCAGTGAAATTTAGTCCTTGTTTATATACATCTGAGCACAGGGAAGTAGCAAAACGAAGGAGACTTTGTTTTCCATTCATGTAATAGATTGGCAATAGGGTAATCAATTTTTTTAGTCAGTGAGTAGGCAGACAAAAATAGCCCATTGCTAATAATGTGAACCATGGGAGAATACACCCAAATACCATTTATTGTAGGAAGAAAACTGAATACAGAGTTGCCTGATAACAGAAAAGAATGAAGTAGCTAATATTACCTTTTCTCACTGAAAAATGTCTAGTACACATGAAACAAAGGCTTTTGTCTACTTTGAATAGACCTCTGGTTGATATAATCAAGTCAACTTAATCACTGGTTAACCTAAGAAACAAAGCAGCCCAACAACTAATTAAAATTTCACATGGAAATCTCAAATGGATTAAGAATAGAACACTACAAATTCTAAAACTATATGAATTTTTCTTGCAAATACATGTGCATGTGAAAGTATCAAGGTAGAAATTAATGGTGATATTATGCACAATAACCAGCCACTTAGAACTTTATTATAAATATATAGATCTGATTTAATAGCTTTATAGCCAGAGCAAATCTGGGTAAGATAATTCATACTGGAGATCGTTTGCCAAAATACCAAAAAGCCTTCATTAAGAAAATTTCACGTATAAGTATCTAATTTAGAACTTCAAGAAATAACCTGCATAAAATAACCAAATAACCATCTCTTCTAGCCACTTCTTTAGACACATTCTAAAATGCAAAGGTCATTTTGTTTTTTTTCATGTAGTTATGAGAACTTCATGTGTTTGATACTCCTATATTATCTCCTTGGTTTTGGGAACGTGAACTTTATATGCATCTGTAATTTATTAGCAATTAATGAAAGTAGAGAATCTGGCACCTTAGATGGTAATTAACATTTGTTCACAAGTTTTAAATACCAGTGAACAGCTTGCTTTCTTCATAAACTATTACTTCAGCTGATTGATCATGATTTTATCAATACATTGACTTCATTTTTTTCCCTAAAATTTGTGTAGAATTGGTGGGTGTAAAATATCTATTAACATAATTTTAAGGTATATAAAATTTATTTTCTCTCAACGCAATTATAACATATCTTTTAAAATAGATTTTACTTGTTCTACAGTTTGACATTCCTGAGGTAGAAAGCTGTTAATTAACTATGATAGAAAACAAGGGTTTCTTTTTTTTTCCAATCACAGATGGCAGTTACAATATCATATATTACAGCACTGTGTTTAAGAGCCTAGACTTCTGATATGTTTATGTAACCAATCAAGGTAACTACTATAGTGCCTAATGTCACTGATAAATAATGCAGGGTAGAAGGTTGGCAAGTATTTTTTTGTTGTTGTTTTTTGTTTGTTTGTTTGAGATGGAGTTTCGCTCTTGTTACCCAGTTTTTATTGCTGGAAACCACAGATATTGTTAAAATTGCATTATAGATATTATAAAAATAAGTATTTTTTCTGGTAGCATATATGGCAGTAAATTTCATACTGTAAATAAAATGATCGAGCCATATTTCAGGTAATTCTTTTTAACAGTACATTGTTAGTGGATTATTAGAAACTGATTGAAAAATATACACTCAGTACTTACTAAGGGTGGAGAGAATATCTGAAGTTTCTCATAAAAAATAGAGCAAGTCTTGTTCTGCAACATGCTTCTGGAGCCTCATTATGCAACATTGTTCCATTAGAAGAAAGAATTGTATTTTTAAAGTGCTGTGTTGAGCCCCTTTCCATAGAAGAGCTGGTACAGCATAACTGTTGAGATAATGGACTCTGGATCCAGGCTACCTCTATTCAAATCTCAGTTTTGCTGTTTATTACCAACATATGCTTAGGCATATTAATTGTATTTGTCTCAGTTTATTCACCTATAACATTGGTATCATCATTACTAGCTATCACATAGCGTTATAGGTAGGATTATGCCAATCATAAAAAGTCCTACATACACTCTTAATAAACAATCAAAATATATGTTCTCATAGCACTCTATGCATACTTTTATTCTGCACTTTTCACCATACATTGTATCAATTTGTTTTTGAGATCTTTAATGGCACAATCTGTTTCTCTTTGTTCTGCAAATAGTGCAATTCTTAGGCTATCACAGGGTCTACACATTCAATTCTTATTTAGCAAGTATATCTTAAGTGCTTGCTATGCTCCAGACCCTCAATACATACTCTGTTTCACACCGAGGATAAAAATGACCCTTCTCTCATGTTGCTTGATATGACAGAAGGCGACAAACAAATGGGTTCATTCACTATAGTAGCATGAATACTGTATTAGGAAAGTATGCATTGTTCTGGGAATATAAAGGAGGCGCATCCAACTAGATCTGGGCTGGAGGATGACTAGTGTGTTTCTGGGGCTTTAGGAGCAAGTCTTCAGCAGTCTGTGAAGAGACTTTAAAGGCCAAGAGGATTAAGACTAAGGAAAAACAGTTGGGCTAGACACTGCTGGAAGGAGATGTGACTGCAATGGAAAGCAGAGGTGAGATTATGGAGTATGTAAGCCATATAAATCAGATGGAAAATTGTACTATAGTTTTTTTAAAGATAATGTTGAAAAAAATTTAGGAAGTAACATCTAATGAGTATATTGTTTGATTCAACTTAGAAACGAAAGAGAACGTTAAGAATGGAACTTAAGTGATGATTCAGTAGCCAGGTGGATTGGCTCAAGTCTCAGCTGAAGCATCACTGCCTTTCAGTCATCCATATGGACAGAAAGGGAAACACAGTATAAGAAAATGACTGTGGGTAGGGGGCGGTGAAGAGATCATACAGGGACTGAACTTGAGATCCCTGTAGAATACAGATGATATAGATACAGATATATCGAGCAAGCAGTGAGATATGTGTCTCAAACTTAGGAGATAAATCAATATTGAGCATAGGCATTTGGGGGAAATACACAGAGTTGATGAATCATGTTAAGAATCTATGTCTTGGCCGGGTGCGGTGGCTCACGCCTGTAATCCCAGCACTTTGGGAGGCCGAGGTGGGTGGATCACGAGGTCAAGAGATCGAGACCATCCTGGTCAACATGGTGAAACCCCGTCTGTACTAAAAACACAAAAAATTAGCTGGGCATGGTGGCGCATGCCTGTAATCCCAGCTACTCAGGAGGCTGAGACAGGAGAATTGCCTGAACCCAGGAGGCGGAGGTTGCTGTGAGCCGAGATCGCACCATTGCACTCCAGCCTGGGTAACAAGAGCAAAACTCCGTCTCAAAAGAAAAAAAAAAAAAAGAATCTATGTCTTGTCAAGGAGAGCATATCCAGGACAAGAAGAGAGTCTAGTGATAAACAAGAGAGTCTAGTGATAAACAATAAATTAACCATACAGAATAGAAAGGAAACAATGTCACAAGGAAGACAGAGTTGCTTCAAAAGAGGGAGGAGAGAAGCCAGAAGTGTTCAGTCTTATGAAGTTCAGAGGAAGAGAGCATTTTATTTACCAATCAAATTTGCAGTAGAATAATATTACATAAATTATGGAATTACAATGACTTCCTTTGACATATTGGTCTATACCCTATTCTTTTTTTTTTTTTTTGAGACGGAGTTTCGCTCTTTGTTATCCAGGCTGGAGTGCAATGGCGTGATCTCGGCTCACCACAACCTCCACCTCCTGGGTTCAGGCAATTCTCCTGCCTCAGCCTCCTGAATAGCTGGGATTACAGGCACGCGCCGCCATGCCCAGCTAAGTTTTTGTACTTTTAGTAGAGACGGGGTTTCACCATGTTGTCAAGGATGGTCTCGATCTCTTGACCTCGTGTCCACCCGCCTCGGCCTCCCAAAGTGCTGGGATTACAGGCTTGAGCCACCGCGCCCGGCCTTGGTCTTCTTTCAGTCTGCTGGACATGTGCAACTCTTTGTTGCTCCACAGGTGTACCTGCTGTTCCTTATTCTTCTGACTTGATCCTCAAGTCTCAGCTGAAGAGTATCACCACTTCAGAGAAACCACTCCTTGCCATACTTTTCCATGACATTCTCTATCTTTGCCTTTTTTGCCTTTTTTGGTTTTGCCTCCTTCACAGACCAATAAAAACTTACAATTACTTTATACATTTGAATATTTCCTTTTTTATTTGCTTCCTTGTTTTATTGCTGTTGACTCCATTAGAACCTCAGCGTCGCCGGGTGCGATGGCTCAAGCCTGTAATCCCAGCACTTTGGGAGGCCAAGGCGGGTGGATCACAAGATCGAGACCATTCTGGTCAACATGGTGAAACCCCGTCTCTACTAAAATTAGCTGGGCATGGTGCCGCGTGCCTGTAATCCCAGCTACTCAGGATGCTGAGGCAGGAGAATTGCCTGAACTCAGGAGGCAGAGGTTGCGGTGAGCTGAGATCACGCTATTGCACTCCAGCCTGGATAACAAAAAGCGAAACTCCGTCTCAAAAAAAAAACCCTCAGCTTCATGAGAAGAGGCACCGTCTGACCTCCTCACTGTCTTGTCTCTGGGATCTAGTGCAGTACTTGACACTTAGCAGAGACTTGATAAACATTTGCTTTGGGAGAAGTGGAAAGAAGACATTCTTTTCTTGAATTTTTCAGTTATATTTCTGTATTTGCAAATGTATAAATTCTGGTATCATATAACCAGTTTATTTTAGTACTAAAAGATAATATATGATATAAAAATGATAAAGACAAAGTAGAAAAAGAGATACAATGACCCCCTAACAGATATCTTAGTCCTATTGTCACTATAGTAAAATATAGCATTCCTACATTACTGCCCCACAAATGCTGAGTAGGTTTTTATCTTTCATAATTTCAGCAGATACAACAAATAGCACAATTCAAACACTGAGTATTCAATGCTCAAATTTATGTGAATTTTAAAATGTTATGTAAATTTAAAATAGAAGTATTCAATGAATATTTTATCATCCTGACTTTAAAGTTCTTGGAAATATCTTCGTAAGAGTCAGACTAGATTTTTAAAATGGAACCTGAGCATCAAGCCCTAGATAATAGATCTGCCTAATTCCACAAGCTGCTTTTAGATACTTCAAACATCAAGAGTCAGTAAACATCACTATCACTATTCACAGATGATTATGAAAGCCATGCACAAATCAGAAAGGTGACTCTTTGTGTAAATTGAGGCTAATTAGCCAGACAGAGGCAGTGTACTCTGGACTATGCCAACCAAGGCCCACTGATGATGGAAATGAAGATTTAAAAACACATTTCTAAAGTTTCATCTTTCTTATTGGGCAGATGACTTCTGCTCAAGTTTGGGGAAGGTTTGACAATCATTCAAAACCACTAAATTTTACCCAAAAGAATAAAGGTAATCATATTTGGTTGGAAAGTTCAGTTTAACTACCTTTTCCCTTCTTTCAGAGCTACTGAGGCAAGTTTCTCTAAGCAAAAATGTCTGATGATAGGCATCTAATAGAGTCATTATTTGGTCAAGTTTCTCAAGTCGGTGATAATTTGACATTTATGTTGCTAATAGTCCTTTCAAAATGCACTAATACTTCTATTAAGTTTCATGACTTTAAATCAGTGATGGGAGAAAGAGCTTCAGTGTTATTGGAAAAGGGTTACAACTATTTGCAACTTTACTTTAGCACTATTGCAGGTAATTAAAACCAGTTCCTTAACATTTGCCCATGCAAATCATTGGAGATCCCACTCTAACAGAAACACCTGGAGCCTTCTAGCTCCAAGCCATTTTCCAAACACCAAACATTTCCTTTGTGGATGGTGCTAACACAAAATTTCCAAATTCAATACATATTCCACACTACTTCTTGTCAGAGAGTTAAAAAAATTTTTTAATTGTTTTTGATACTCTAAAAGGCTGTGTATCTTCTTTATATTTGATCATTGAGAAACCACCATCGGAAAGGCTGATGCATTTTTTTCAATTCCCAGTTGATAAATGCACCATGCTCTACAGGTTTATAACTTTAAATGCATTTCTTTCATTAAAAGTTCCCTTAATGATTGCTTTGAACTAGTTCATAAAATTATATATAAATTAGTACACCTCCAGAGTTATTACTGGTAGTATATTTGAGCCCTAAATCCTGGGAAGAGAGATAAAGCATATTTTCTTTTTTCTTTTGTGTCTCAAATTGGACAAGACACATTTTGCCCCCTCTAACCTTTGGTCAACCAATACTCCAAATTCCACTGTGGTAATCCTACAATTATATGCTCATAGCTTCCCTGGGGCCTCTCCCTTCCCGGAACTAGGAGAGCACACAAATTCTAAGATCAACTCAAAATGCTCCATAACAAAAAATCACTCATCTCACCTTTCCAAATTTAAATATTCATGCCCAGGCTGTTTATTATAGACCTATTTTCCATTTTTCAAAGATGCCTAGGCTTATTAATAAACCCAAATTAATCTCTAAATTAGCAAAATTTGGACAATGACATCAAAACTGTCTGGGGGCAGAGACAACAAACGGGTATGTCAGCAAGCATGGAACATCTGCTTCTAGGGTACAAAATAATATATTTTATACATTAATAGTCTTTTTCCTTTTTCACTAACTCTGAAAGAGTATGCTTTTTGCTTGTTTTATGAATCCTTCCCACCAGCAGTAAAGGACTAGGGAATAATTGCTAAGGTAAGCAGTCTTCCTTCAAGGATATTACATTTTCCTTTGCAAATTGATTTACACGAAACAGACATTACAAATTTTTCAAAGGTTTTTCACTCATGGTCAAATTAATGACAGTATGTGTGAATTTCAGACATTTATTTTGAAGAACTTTATAACATCATTTCAGGTCGTCTGTAACCATACACAGACACACAATGATGATGTAGACACACCTGACCCTAAGACTATGGCTGCATGAAAAAGATTAGCAAAAATGTTGATCTATATTTTAACATATTTCAAACCAATACTTCAAAGATAGAGAAACAGTAAATCAATTTAGATCTTTATTAAGAATTGCTTGTTTACTTACTTCTCTTTCAGATTAAAGTCTGCTTTTTACCCCCATGGCACATTGAAATGCATTCCAAGACAATACACATTGCTCTAATTAAAACATGGAATTATTTTTCTTCCTGAAGCATTATCACATCCATTGTGATGTCTGCAACTTTTGCAGCTGATGAACATTTCGAAGGAAATGCTTACATTAGGTTAGCAGATGTGATTCTGAAAACTCCCCAAATCTGAGATAAACTCTCCCTGCCTAAAGGAACATGTACATCGTGGATCCTGTAATTAGATGTGACTTCAGTGCTTCCTCGTTCAAAAACGCCTGACAGCTGTGAATCTCTTATAACATTCCATGAAGAAGACTTTTGAAGACTCACCTCACTCAATAATGACATAAAAATGATTTGTATGCAATGTATGCTACCCAAAATATTAATCTGAGAAACTTACTTGTGCTGATATGATCAGACTTGCTGCTTTTGGGGGCTGGCCTTTCACACTGTGTGCCTGACCAGTTGGCGGAGCATCTAAAAACATCCAAACAACAACAAAATAGATCAGTGAATAACAAAGCCCACAAGTCTGCTAATGCAGTAATTTTTAACCAAATTAAATGTTATAGGAGCCAGGCATTACAAATTCATGAAAATTAGGTAGGGATTTCTGCTAATTTCTTGCATATTGTTAGTTTGCTGTGTGTAACTTTCATTGAACTTTATTTGTTAAAATACTTTTTAAAATTTAGGTTTATAGTCATTTTACTTAGTCTGCATTAAAATTGGCACATTTCATAGCAGTATTAAAATCTTGATGAATTGGAACTTAATATGAGAGTTATGGAAAATTACAAGTGACCCCTTACAAAAACTGAGTTTGCATATTAAGCAAATCTTTCTGTAGGTTTCTGTGATTTGTTTTTCTGGCTGTTCTAAGTCCAAAGTGGAACTAACTATCAAAAGCCAATAGTCATTGGTCTCAAAGTTCAAGCTGTAGGGTTTTTACTCTCCTAACCAGAGATAACAAAATACAGTGCTTTCCCATTTCAAATCACACTTCTCTATTAATATGAAGTCAAGAGAATGTGCCCACCTTTTGTTGGGAAAAGTTGTTTTCCCATGTAAGTACTATGACAATATGATAAGAAGTAGTTGAAGACAAGAATAATAGATCTGATTAAAAGTTATTATTTCAACAGAAATTGCAACTATGAAATTAGCTAGTTGCATCAAAATAAATGCTGGAACAGTTTTAGTTGTGTTTAAACAATGTCTATGGGCTAACATAAGATACCTCTGTGCATCTTTCACAGGAACTCCACAGAGAAACAATTTAATTGACTTCAGTTCTTAGTTAAAATGACTGTCAAATACCACCATATCAAGAATAGCTGTACACAATAAAAAACAGCTTCCCGAATCATTCTAGGTGAATCTCTGAGCATGGTGGGCCAAACTAAATAACTGCAGTTTCAATGTCTCTGCCGGTTCTTGGATAGCCAATTCTGATATCTAAGGCTTCTTCATGAACCGAGCTTCTATGATGCCACACAAATTATTTGTGATAGTCATAAAAACAGTATTGGCTGTCCTAAATCATGGGCACATTCTCACAAAATCATTATTACTGGCAAAGTCAAATAATAAGCATAAAAATATGTTTCAAATAAGCATATATAAACTTGAACATAAACTGGCAATGAGGTTACTGTTAAAGAGTTAATAATGATAAATTTATAACTATGAAAATGGAACATGATTTAAATGAAAATTAATAACATTATTAATATTATAATTTAGGTCATGACTCATGCTTTAGCCCAATTTTTTGGTATTACATTATAAAAAGCTTACACATTAAATAATATTCTGTACATCATGTTTATTATAAACTATAATGTAAGTAAATTATTAACATAGATAAATACATTTAAGGCGAAGTCTACGACTGTATTACTAAAGTGAAGTAATAAAATGAGCATATTTTCAAATTATTAGAATAAAGTGAACAACAAATGAAATCATTGTGTTTTTTTCTTTTTAATTTGTATTATTTGCAGATGAATAATCTAGAAAAAGGTTTCAATTCTTCATCTATTTTAATCATTGACCAGTCCACACATAGTTCAAAATAATATATTTGGGAACATTTTGCAAACATGCTTTTGGAGTGAATTCTGATTGTGAAATGCTTTTTGTGTTATGCAGCTTTACATCAGTCAAATATTTCTAATGTACCCGAAGAACATTTCATATGCTCCACAGAAAACCTAATGCTGACTGCTTAGTTATTTCATTGTGTATTAATAGCTGTTGTGTACAAGTCTACATGTGTGCAATTATTTTTAATTATTGCTAGAAACATCAAAATTTAATTTTCAGCTTATCTCATTTAAAAGAAAAAAAAAAACTACATCAGGTTCAGTTTAGATAAGATAAATGGCCCAAGGCATATTTTATTGTGTTACTGTGAAAAGAACCTCTGGGGTTCATCATGACACTTTCTGAAAAGTTTTGAAGTCAGAATGTGCAATTGCTTGGGAATTAGAAGATTAAATGCTACTTGACCATATCATGTATTTTTAATAATTTATAAAGTAATTATATTTTGAGATCTCCAAATTAGCAGAGATTTTTAAATAAAGAGGATAAGGATAGTGTGATTCTTATTCCAAACTCTAGAATTATTTAGGTAGCACAGGTATTTGTTAATATTACAGTGTAATTATCTAATTTATCCATGGCTTTGAATCCAGTATTTATGATAGATACAAGAAGTCACCTGCTAGTGGTCATAATCCTCTTCTCTTTTAAATTGTGGGAGCCCATTTAAATTCATAATCTTTACAGAATATTTTACTTATTATATATTGGAAAAAACTCTCAAAGACTGTACTAGAGAAATAATTAATTTTAAGAGTTAAACACCTTAATGTGCTGATGATGATCACTTTGCCATTCTCCTTATACTCCTTACAAAATAAGGTTTTATGGCCAGAGATAAAATATGTTCAACTGTTCTGCATTCATCTCAGTCTTAAAAAATTCTCTTTGAGTTATTAAATAGAAATCATTATTCTTGTTGCCTACCTTACAAAATTATAACTTAAAGCATTTGCTGCTCCACAAGTTCCTCCAGCGGTTGATTTAGGACCAAGTATTTTTGCCATCTTTATAGCAATCCATAAATCTTCATACTCTAAGTGGACTACAATGATCAAAGCCATTAATGGCAGAGGATTTAAGAAATACAATATGTGGAGATCATCAAAATTTCCTGTCCAATTCCCCACTAAATTATTTGCATAGCCATGCTTAATATAGTATCTCTGGTATCTATCTCTTTTTTTATTATTACTCAAGCAAAACCGATAGATAGTCCATACTCTGGTCATCTTTAATCTGTACTATTGAAATATACTGTTCCTTGCCATTCATCTTGGGACAATTATCTTCATGTAAGCCCTGCATCTCTTTTCTTATTTTTTCCCCTTATAAAAGCCAAGCTTATTTTGATATTCTAAAATTGTTGATTGTGTTTCCTAGTAGTATCTGTACACTGTTGATTTTATACAAAGTTATTTCCCTATGCAATCTTTTCTTATTTTTTCTTCTCATCACAGCAAACAGCTCTGTATTATTTACGTTAAAATTGCAGATGTTTCCCACGGCCCTTAACCTTAGGACAATGAAAATCAGCTTCATCTTATGTGCTGATCACTAAAGGACTGTAAATGATTTAACGTTTTAAACAATTCCATGAATTTTAACTAAGCATCTTTGGATCAGGAACAGATGGATAGATAGATAGGTAGATAAACAGATACTTATTGACTATTCAAATAATTGTTTATCCTGCTTTCTTTACATCGTCAAACAAAGGTACTGCTCTTAGCAGTTTCCTGTTGTCAATAGCTGCATGGTAAAGGGTATTGACTTAACATTCTTTGACTTCTCTTTTTTTCCCTAGGCCATTCGCACTACAAAAAAAATAAGATTAATACCAAATTGTTTCCTTAATCTTATTCTTCCACTTCCACAATAGTTGTATGTTATGTGCTCTTAATTACAGTATGTTTTATGGTATTCCCTTTATGTTCTAGGCTAGAATAATGATTATGAAATATGGGAAATGTTAAAATTCAAATTCTGAGGCCCCACGTATTCCTTAAGCAACTTGGGATAGTGGCCAGCATTCTTCATTTTAACAAGGTGAATCTGATGTAAATAATTCCCAAGTCACACTTCGAGAAATACTTGACATACATCATATTACTATATTTTCACAGGCTTTGTTCTTATGCCAAATATTCATTTTTTTATTATTAGGATGAGAATAATAATATACAAACCCAGCATAATTACTCAAAAGATGAAATAAGCTAGATAGAAGTTCCTTACACAATACCTGGAGTGGACTTATTTATTTATTGTCATTCTCATCTGCGTGTTACTGTATAAAACACATGGTTAATTAATTTGTGGTGTCCATGACCAGTCAGTGCAATTTTGTATAGCTACAATATTTTTTGTTTCAATTATAATTTTCTGTGGCATAGGGAAATAACTTTGTATAAAATCAACAGTGTACAGATACTACTAGGAAACACAATCAACAATTTTAGAATATCAAAATAAGCTTGGCTTTTATAAGGGGACAAAATATAATCTTTAAAATGAAAGTTATTACATTTAGTAGCATAACTGTGAGACATATATTTAAACTCTTAAATAATAACTCTGAAATAGTAATTATTACAAAGAGAATAAAATGAGATATAAAACACTGAAGGTATATTAAAATCTTTAGATACTGTCTTTCCTGTAACAATGATCAATTTATATGAACTGCTCTTGTCATTTTGCAGAAGTGTAGTCTAGAGCCATCCACTTTGGGAGAACTTCAAAATAACATAATGAGATTAATATCTGCTCTCTCTTTTCATCAAATTTAAAGGTCATGGGACTCTTCCAACCACAGTGAAATTCGAAGGTGAACCTTAAAGCAATTTAAAATTGAATTTCTCCTCTTATATATAGGTGCAAGGTTGCCCTTATTAGCCATGATGACGGAGGCATTCAGAAAGAAAAATGTTTTAATATACCCTATTCTTTCTCTACACAGGAAAAATAAAAGTGACACAAAGGGATTAAAGAAGCCTTGAAAAACTTGTTTATGGTGGCATGCATGTCTTAATGCTCTTAAAATCTCATTCAATAAAAATTAAAAATATGATTACAGGTTATGAAGCAATTTATGCCAAAGTATTTTCATACAGCAAGGAAAATCAGAAAAACTCAAAGTTACATGCAAAATACTTTTTTTCTCATTAACTCATCAAATTACACTTGAAAGGACTACTCTTTCTGTATTCCCCGTATCTTTTATACCCACTTCTCTGGCAGATAGCACTACAAGATGCAAAAAAGCAGAAAACCAAAAACCCTAGCATTTTGGGACAGATACTTAGATATTTATTCATCTGCTTAACTTTACTTTAAAATCGTTCCATCTGCTATTGTTTTGCAAC